GCGCTAAAATGGCTCCTCACGGGTCAAAGCATTATTAACAGGTGCTTCAGCCCCAAAGAACTCTGGGTATGTGGCTCACATGTAAAATCCCAGCACTTAGAAAGTGGAGGCAGGAGGATCGGGGGTTCAAAGTCATTCTTGGCTACACACTGAGTTCAAAGCTAGCCTGGGCTACATGAGATGCTATAGAAGGGGGGAGGGGGAGAGGCAGAGGAGGAGGAAACACGAGGACCTGAGTTCAATCAGGTGAAAAAAATCAGAGGTCATCGAACAAACCTGTAATCCTAGAGCTGGGAAGGCAGAGACAGGAGGCTCCCTAGGACTTGCTGGCCAGACAGTCTAGTCAGATCACAAACCCCAGGTCCAGTGAGAGACGCTGTCTCGAAAAATAAGGTGGCTGTATTCTGACTAGATGCTCGGAGGGGAAGGGTGCTTGCCACCCTAGCCTGGAGACCTGACTTCCGTCCTAGGATGTGCACGGTGAAAGGGGAGACGAGAACCCACTCATGCACATTGTCCTCTGACCTCCACACGTGCCCCATGGATGGAGCACAGAAATGGATACACACAAGCAGGCCCACAAACACACCACACACACACACACACACACACTAAATAAATTTATTAACACATATAATTTATTTGGTTGTTTTGAGACAGGATTTTTCTGCATAGCCTTGGCTATTCTGAACTTGCTTTGTAGACCAGGCTGGCCTTGAACTCTCAGAGCTACGCCTGCCTCCGCCTGAGACTACAGGCGTGTGCCCTCACACCAGGCAATAAACTCACCTCACAAGCAGATAGTCAAAACATGTTTGCGGCTGGGTGGTGGAGCATGCCTTTAGCTACAGAGTGAGTTCCAGGACAGCCATGGCTACATAGAGAAACCCTGTCTCCAGGAAAAAAAAACAAACATGTTTGCCTGTAACCCAGCACACAGTTCACTCTTAGCATTATGCGTACTTACAAACGTGCACTCAGGAGCCCTCGCCCACCCTCCGTGACGCTTGTACCTGCCGCGTGCCCCTCCTCTAGCCATGAGACGCCACCAGCCTCCTGTCTTTTTTTTTCTTTCTTTCTTTTGGTGACACCTTGTCTCCAAAACAAATTTTTTTAATAAAAGAAAAGATGCAGGTGGAGTGTTTGAATAAATATTTTCAAGTTTTTGAAGCTGGGTGGAGTGGTGTATGCCTTTAATCCCAGCACTTAGGAGGCAGAGGCAAGGTGGAGCTCACTTTGCAGACAGACCAGGCTTTTGCCTCCTGGGTGCTGGGATTAAAGGTGTGCGCCACCATGCTCGGCTCACCAGACAGGCTCTTACGTAGCCTAAGCTACATAGCGAGCTCCAGGACCACGTAGAGAGACCCTGCCTCAAAAACAAGCAAAAAGGTGAAAACCAGGTATGCTGGCTCACATCTGAAATCCCAGCACTTGTGAGGCTGAGGCAGGAGGATTGCTGTGAGTCTGAGTCCAGACTGGACTAATAGCAAGTTTCCTGGCCTACGATAGAACCCCTTGTCTCAAAGAAAAACAGAGGGAGAGCGAGAGAGAGACTGTGCCAAGTTTAGCAGCACATACTTGTAATCTCATCCCTTCCCAAGGCTGGAGCGAGAGGATTGCAGGACAACCAGAGGCCAGCCTCAGCTACATGGTGAGCTCCAGGCCATCCTGGGTTAGAATGAAACTCTTTCTCCAAAAGAACAAAACCAAGTCAGGGGTAAGCCATCACTTGGAAGGCAAAGGCACATAGATTTCTGTGATTTTGAGACCAACCTGGTCTACATAGTGAGACCCTGTCTATAAAAAACAAAACTTTCAAAAAGCATATATAAATACGTATATATGTGTATATATATAGATGTATATAAATATGAGAGATGACTCAATACTTAAGAGCAAGCAGTAGCAGAGGACCCAGGTTCAGTTCCCAACTCTGCTTTCAGTTTCTGGGGACCCACCCTCCCCCTCTTCTGGCCTCTGTGGATAACAAGCAGGCACATATGTGCACACAAAACACCTCACAAAATAAAAATAAACAGATCTTTTTTAAAACAAGAGCATAAAATCAATGTGCATGAAAATAATGCTTAAGAATGTGGGCGTCTATAGGAATAAGTTAAATATTACAAGGAGACACTGAGCCGCCTCAGTGATTCTCAGGCAGGGGCCTTCCACGCTCCCTTGGGCATTTGTCAGAGTCTGCACACACTTTCAGTGGACACAACCAGTGAGAGTAGGGGTGGCAGGTGGCCTCTTATCGGCAGAGGCTGAGCACACCCCATGTGGGATGGAAGGACCTTCTCCACAACAGCAAACAGACACCTCAGAATGCTAATGGCACTTGAACTGAGACACTCTGGACTCTTCTTCATCAGAACATTTTTTTTCTTACCTGTGTGTCTATGCATATGCCACACGGGGACCACCCGTGGAAACCAGAAGACAAGTCTGGATGCTCTGTTGCTGGAGCATTAGGCATTGTGAGCTGCCCAGCGTGGATGTTGAGGAACCAAACTTGAGTCCTTTGAAAAATCAGCAAGTGCTCTTAACCGCTGGGCCAGCTTGCTAACCCTAGACTGGATTTTCTATATTTCTAAGAATTTGTAATTATTATGTTGGCTTTTAAAAAAAAAAATCTCTTAGCCAGGTATGGCGGCGCACGCCTTTCGTCCAAGCACTCAGGGAGGCAGAGGCAGGAAGATCTCTGTGCGTTCCAGTCCAGGTCTTCAAAGAGTCCAGGACAGCCAAGATTACACAGAAAAAAAAAAGTATCGGGATGGGGCCAGCAAGGTGGCTCAGCAGGTGAGGATACTTGCTGCCAAGACTAGTGAGTGACCTAAATTCAATCCTTGGACACACAGTGGAAAGAGAGAATTGATTCCAAGTTGTCCCCAACATGCATGCCATGGCCTACATGCACCCCCCAACACTAAATAAATAAATAATATTTTTTTAAATCTCTCAGGCACACATCACAAGAGCTAAATAGCATTAATTGAATCAATGAATTAAGGAAGGAGGAAACAATGAATTAAGGAAAGAAAGCAGGAGCTGAAACCAGGACCCAGACACTCCAAGGTCAGTTCAGTCTTTCATTAACTGTCAGAAAAACTTTGCTAGGGCCAGACTTGAGGGCACAAGCTCCTGGATAGTCAGGGCTACAGAGAACAACATGCGTACGTGCCAACACACAAATTCATATCCCGTGAGAATTTTCCAAGGAACTTCAACCCAAGCACTCAGGGAGTGCTGGACTATTTAAATCCCAAACGAAAAATCAGAGCCAAGAATAGCTGATGACTTTCTGAAGAATGAACCTCCACAGACCAGGAGGTGCGATGGGCTTGTCCCTGCCGTATATCAAAGCTTAGTACAAATCACAGCATCCGGATGAGGCGGTACTAGCAGAGGGTAAACGGTCCAAAGGAACGGACTAGACAACTCAGAGGCAAGACCATCTGTAAGACCTGAGGGTCCCGTCATCAACCAGGCCCAACCCGGGCTTGAGCTGAGGTGGCATCCAAGTGTACTGAGGGCCTACTGAGCAAAGGGGTCTGTGGCACGAACAGGTGTTTCTATATGGGTGTGTGTGTGTGCGCGCATGTGTGGAGATGTTTGTATGACCTTGTGCAGCAGGCTTGTTCACAGTGAGTAAAAGAAGGCTCTTCCATGTGGCCAGAGGATGTCTGCCAGTGCCATGGCACACACTATCTGCCTAAAGATATGCGTTTCATCCAGCAAATGATCAACAGAAAGTCTGTGTCAGTTGGTGACAGCTTGTCTTGTGTGTTATACAGCTATGTAGTGAGCAGACATGGGTTCTCTCTGTGGATGACAAGGGTCTGATGTGTGTATGTAAGTATGCAGAGGGGATGGTGTAGACTTTTCTTTTAAGATTTAAAAAAGTGTATTTATTAGCCAGGCGTGGTGGCACAGGCCTGTAGTTCCAGCACTCGGGGAGGCAGAGGCAGGAGGATCTCTGTGAGTTTGAGGCCAGCCTGATCTACAGGTCCAGGACAGCCAAAGCTATACAGAGAAACCCTTTCTTGAAAACAAACAAAAGAATATAATTTTTTTTTTGGGGGGGGGTTTCAATCTCCTGAAGTTAGAGTTTCAAGCGGTTGGGAGCCACCTGACATGGATGCTGGGAATTGTACACAGGTCCTCTGCAAGAACAGCACATGCTCTTAAGTGCTGAGTCATCTCTCTGGCCCAAGATTTCATTTTTTTAATTATGTGTGGATGTGTGTCTCTGTGTGTACCTGCTCTCTGTATGTGTACCTGAGTGCAGGTAACTTCAAAGGCCAGAAGAGGGCATCAGATCCCCTGGGAGCCGCAGCTGCAAGCCAGCTGACATGGGTGTTGGGAACTGAACTCAGGTCCTCACCCGACCCCCTCAGTCCTCTTCAAGACCAGTACTTGCTCCTAACCACAGAGCCCTGGTTTTCCAGGCTGGTTTTGTTTGGGGGTTTTGTTTTTCAAAATAGGGTCTCATATAGCTCAGTGACCTAATAATTCCTATATAGCTGAAGATGCCCTTGGGTTCCTGGTTGTCCTGCTCCATCAACTTACAGGCTTGGGCACACACACACAGCTGAGGCTGTATATTGTATGAGGGGTGTGAGAGCTGTAACTGGCCGGGCACTTGGGAGGCAGAGGCAGGAGGATCTCTGTGAGTTCGAGGCCAGCCCAATCTAGAGAGCAAGTCAAGGACAACCAAGGCTACAAAGAGAAACCTTGTCTCAAAAACCAACCAACCAACCAACCAACCAACCAACCAACCAACCAACCAACCAACCAAATAAAAAGCAGTATCTGTTCACGTGTAAATATCTGAGGACAGAGAGGATGTGCTATCTCTCTCTCTGTGTATGTGTGTGAGTGTGTGTGTGTAAGTTAGATATAACTTAGCTCTGAAGACCTATGCAAAGCCTGAGTGGTTCTTTAGGTCAGCCACACACAGTTACATCTGAACCTCACTCAGGCCATCTGCTTCTTACCTGAGCAGTGGTGAGGACGCTGGTCTGCGAAGTGACAGGGCTGCAGGTGAGGGAGGCCGCTGAGAGCCTGTTTCTTTGAGAGCATGTTTCCTTGACTGACTCCTCAGAGCTCAGGAAACAGGGTAGAGAATGAGGGAGGAGCAGGCAGAAGGCAGGCCCAGACTCAAGGGTGTGAGTCACTGTACTCTGCCCTCCAATCCCCGTTCATTCAGTGGTGACAGCTGGATGAAGAATTAGGGGAAGCTTGTCTCCGGGCTCTGTCAAGCTGCCGGGCACCTGAGGCCCAAAGCTAACCTCTTGGGCGGAGCCCTAACCCCAAGGTCACCAGAAATTCTCACACCCAGCCAGGACTCTGTACTCAGTTCAGCCAACACGAGGCCCGTCTGAAAGCTGAGCCCCTCTGGGAGGAAGGGCCAGGCCTGGGAAAGCAGAAAATCAGGCTCCTTGTGTGAGGGGAAGAAGGAAGATTCCAGCAACGTCCTCAGGAGCCTGAACTTCAACAACACAGTCCCAAATCCAGTGAGTCTGAGAGGAAAGACCCAAAGCTGACTTCAGAAGACACCTGTCTGAGGGGACACACGGAAGATCACAGACCACCAAGGCATCCAAGCAGGGAAGACTGATTCCCTTGCCTTCAGGGTGCTTAGTCTGTTAGGAGGTAACGCTGCCTCCTGAAGTTACCTCAGCTGAGAGGCAGGCAGACAACCCTTTCTCCGAAGAGCCCTTCTCTGATGGAAGCCAAAGACCACAGCTCCAGCAAGGACCCGGGACTTGTCTAGAGTTCCAGCCTCCTGGCAACTCCTCACCAAAATGCTAACTAGACTGCAGAAAGAATGACTAGTTGTCTGCAGCGGTTGCAAGTTGCCTCTAAAGGCGCAATCACCACTTCACACCAGGAAGCTGAGGCTGCAGGTGGGCTTCATTACTGACTCAAAATGCCAAGATCCTCATCCTACCTCCCTGGCTCCCCCCACCCCTTTACCTGTGCCCAGTGAGGCCTTGTTAGCAGTCGACTGTGCCATGGAAGGTGTGGCGTGGTGGCTTTGACTCACGCAAGCCACAGGAAGGGGAGTGGAGTGGATCTTTCAGCAACCCTCCAGTGAGCCTCTGCTGCCTGGAAGCTCCCCTCCCCCTCTCTGGGGGACAAGGGGCCGCAGAGGTCCTGCCCTAGATGGAGGTCAGACTTGGCTGTGAGACCTCGATTCAGTGCCCAAGGCATCCTTTCTCTACCTGTGTCACCGCAGAGAGCTGCTCTGAGCGGGGTTGTGCCCAGGGTGAGGGCCATTACTGCTCTTCCTGGCCAGTCTATGGCCAAAATGTGGCAGAAAGGAAATGGACTGCTCCTTCTAGAAAATACGATGTCTGCTGTAAATAAAAAATGAATGTTGGGCAATATGTTTATTACCAGCCCTAAGATTATCACGGCGGTATTATTTAACCCACGATCACAAATAATAATAAGACCCAGACACCTGTTAGATTTTATACCTTGGGCTGGGCAGATATTTCATCTACGTTGGTTCACTAACCTCACCATCCATCTCCCAGCCCCCATCTGGTGCCATCCACCTCAATCCTCCTCATCTGGTCTTCCTTCCATCCATAATCCCACGGTACTTGCTTGTGTTCTTCATCTGGGCCTTTTCACGCCATTATGGGAGCCACTCCTATCAGCCCACGTAGTTTTTTCCTACGCACTACCCCATCATGGTGTCCTCCTTCCTCTTCTCTTCCCATCCCTCTGTCTCCAGTGATTCTCCTGCCCTCAAAAGCCCGAGGACATTAGCCACACCTACCCCATTATAATGACTTAGGGAGGTTTACAAAATAAGGATAGGTGTAACCAGATCTTGAGGGCCGGCATCAGACCACCCTCCAACAGATGTCCATACCAAAACCCAGATGGCTGAAAGAATTCCTGATCTTAGCTATCGGGTCCCCAAGCTGCAGGCAGAGCAGAATATTCATGGGCATCACCTCGCCTCCAGCCAGCTGGGGTCACTGTGCCACTGTTAACCACTCCAGATTCCTCCTCTCACCGACAACCTTAACCTCCCTGGGAACTGGCGGTGCCCAGGCCAAAGGAACAAGGCTTATTCTGCCTGTTTTCCACTGCTGCCTTCTCATATTCGTATGTCCTCAGACCCATTTGCAGGACTTCCACCTCTGGGGAAACTGCTTCCTGGATCGCTCACTAACAGTTTTAAGGTGTGGTGTCAACACCGGCTTCCTGCAACTGTGCTGACAAACCCTCCTGGATGGAACAGCAGCAATACGGCCACTCCCTCGGTGCCGTGCAGGCTGTGAATACCAGGCGTTGGGGGACAAACACTGTACTATTTTATCCTGCAACTGAAGTTGTGCCAAGTGGCACTGAACATGGTTTTCTCCAGGACACACTTGCTGGCTGCTAAGGACAAGAGCAAAGGCCTACAGAGCAGGTCCCCGCCTTCCTCCATCTCTGCCCCTACTCACTGGGCCTCAGCAGAGGCACACAGTGCACATTCCCGGGTGTTTCACTGTCACAGCCTATCTGCTGAAGGAGTTAGCACAGCAATGGCTGACTGCTGGCATGGCCTTCAGAGTACCAAGGTGGGCTTGCAGGCGGCTGACCTGGCTTCAACCTCCAGCCCTCTGACCGCTGACTATGTGTGAGGCCCTGTTGGCAGGAGGTGCCTCTCTGACTGCCTGGAAAGCTGCAAGAGCTGCTCCCTGCCCAGGACAAACTGCATCCGCTCAGGACGTGCAGCAGTTCTGCAGTGGCCAGTCACCTCTATCTCCTGCCTTTTGAGCTTACTGGTGTTAGGAGTTACTATCTCTCTTGTGGTTTGGACATGCCCAGTGGCACCTGGAAGGGAAGTCAAGGCCCAGCCTCCACCCACAAGGAACCAACTGAAGGTGCAGCCATCCCACCCAGACACAACCACAAGGAGCACAACAAAGTGTCTGGACTCACTGTTTCTCATATTGGCTCATCCCATGTGTCACCTTTCTATTCTTGCTATGCCCCTTCCACAGACTGCGCATAGACTTCATCCTCAAAGTGAGCACATGGGACGGTAGCTGAGTCAGAAATGCAGTGGTCAACTCAAGAGTTCCTACAGTAAAATCAGGAACCTGGGACCTCACACACACCCGGGGGGCCTCCCACCTTACTGATATTCTGTACCGATTTCTGCTGTTCTGAGAGTTGAACCTAGAACCTCACACATGCTGGGCAAACACACTAGCACCATGTCTATCCTCAGCCCTGTAGTCCCATTTTGTAGGTAAAGAATTGAAGGTTCAACAAATTAGTGTAGGGAGATTTGTGCCCTCAGCCACCTGCAGGGCTGGGCCACGCAAGATAGCGGACCTGCCTGTTCTTGGAGCACACCTGAGGAAGAGAACATTAAAGGCTTGGGTATAAAAATTTATTATACGTAAAAGAATATTACCACTAATGAGTGCAGACAAGCGAGGACACAGTGGGACTGGTTGGAAGATGGCTAACTCTTTGGAAAGTGAACAGGTTTAAGTGCTGGGAGCCTCATGCCACTCTGACTGACTGGCCAGTCAGACAGAAGGACTTGCCCAAACAACGCAGGGCGTCAGGACATCCAGTGACTGCCCTATGGATCCTTAACGCCTCTCCTATTGGATCGAGGGTTTCAAGGACGACACGCCCAGAAGCAAGCAAAGGGGCTTCCCAAGGTGGCCCAGGCTGGTGTGGAGTCACAGCAACACCCCTGGAGGCAGGACATTTAGCTGGAGGAGCTCCATGAAGTATACATGGCCTTCGAGCCACCACTCAGTGAAATACGAAACATTTAATTTACAGGCTGTGGGGAAAGAAGGCAGCAAGAGTTGGTGGTTTCTTCCAATCCTGGCGGCTCCGGGAGGAAGGTGGGGGAGAGGTTTGACCAAGCCCTCCTCTCAATGTACAAAGAATTACTCTGATTGATATTAAATTGTATTTAAAACAAAATAGACTAAAAAGCAAACACTACTCTATGTTGGGGTGGAAGCTGAGAAAAAAATGAGTCCTTGAAGCAGAAGGAGGCAGCTGGGAAAGCTCTGGCCGTGGCCCGGCTGGTCACTCGCGCTGTTCCATCTTTACTTTCGGTGGCCGAAGGAAGGTCCGATTCTTCTTCTCCTTCTTCCCCTTCGTATTTGCCTGGAAATTCCGCCAACTGTCCACTCGACCGTCCCGACTTTCCTGAAAGAAAACAGAAAGCAGTTCAAGGTGAGGTCACTAACAGCACAGAAGGGGCTGGGCTTATCCTGCAAACAACTGTCCTCCCACAGCCCAAGCAGACCAGCCCTCTGAAGAGAGCCCTCTCCTGCCTCTAAGGACCCAGCACCCTGTCAAAGAGGCTTAGAGGAAGACAGGATGGTGACACTTTCACAAGGCCATTTGCTGTGGGCCTCTGAGCGGGTGCTGCACACAAGTCCCTTCTGTTATGTCTCCACGGCTGAGCTGCACTCCCAGAGCTAGCTTGTTACTTCTTTTTGTTTGGTGGTTTTGTTGTTGTTGTTTTGAGATAGGGTTCTCTGTGTAGCCTTGGCTGGCCTCGGACTCAAAAGAGATCTCCGTGCCTCTGTCTCCTGAGCGCTGGAATTAAAGGTGTGCATCACCATGCCCCACCCCTTGTTTGGTGCTTTTAAGACAGCCTTAGCTGGCCTGGAGCTTACTATGTACACCTGGCTGGCCTTGAACTACCAGAGACTTGCCTGCCTCTGCCTCCTGAGTGCTAGGACAAAAGACAAGCCCCATGATGCCTGGCTCCTAATTTGTCTCTTCTAATTCTTACAAAAACTGACTACAGTGTACATTGTACAGGACTGTACAATGACGAGGGGTTGACCAGTTTTCTCACACATGAAGTTAGCTGGGAATACAGCCACTCTCTCTTTCAACACGTTCCTGCGGCAACTTCAATAGGATATCCCCAAACCAGCTCATCGCTGGCCACAAAGATCTCTATTTCATTATCAAATGGACTACTCATTTTCCCTTTTCATAAAGCTGGACAGAAACAAAGTAAAAAATCATGGTTAACCACGCTCTATCCTGAATTCTAAATCCTATAAAAGAGACCAAATG